TTTTTCAGACGCTTGTCAAAGAGGTTGAAACGGGCGATCCTGCGATGATGCGGTACATGAATCACCTCCTGTACGGTTAGCTTTACCCCTGACCAACAAGGTTATGCAGAACCTGAGGTTAAGAAAATACGCGAGGTCGTCCCAAGAAAACCAATTCAACTAAGCGTAAACCATCGCATTGGGAGTATAGGGATAATTCAAGAGGTCGTCCGGTGGGCCGTACAAGTGCTTCTTCGCGTGGACCGACAAACTCGTCTTCTCAACAGTCACAAGGGGCAGAAGATGACATTTTTTTTATATAGCTGAACGTTAATTAAAGTATTTATATAATTTATATTATATAAATTGTGACATGAAATTATTATGATATTCTAGAGAGTAGACCGACAGATATATTTTCTTTTACATACTGGCAAAGAATTTCTTGGATAATGTTGGACTACGTAGTGAGCTACCTGAATGTGAAGGTGAATGGAAACTGCAGATTTTGGGTCATCGCGAGTTACGTGCATGGGGACCAGGAGATGTGGCAACTCGTAAGAGAGAACATTGCGAATGAGGTTCAAAGCCACCGTGACATGTACAAGTACATCTATTTTAGGGATATCGACGCCACACTCAGTCAAATAAGGTGGGACGGGGGCCCTTGTGGCCGAAGTCACTGGATGGAAGTTGCATGCGACCTCTACCTTGTTGCAACACTATTTACTGCAGTTTTCATTTTGTTAAGCTCTGATCCTAATGGTGTCGAGATCGACCAGTACAGTTTGACAGTATTGCCGCTCTCTCCACCATCAACAGCTATAGGACCACGACATGAGATTGTCATGCGTCATCTTGGTACCTACGCATACTTCATTCGCGTAGATGTGACTCCTGATTTTCCATTACCGCCTATTCATAGTATGTGGTTCAGTAACCGAACTGCTTCGGTTGAGGGTTGGGAGAATTTGTACCAAGCTAGGTTGCAATTGTGGTATGATGCTCAAACTAGACCTTGAATAAAAGAACAATATTTTAATAAAAGAACGATATTATTCGGTTGAGGTATGATGCTTCTCACACGACTCGTGTGGAAATGACGCACACCAAAAAATGGGTTCGGCATTGCCACGCGAGTCGTGTTGGAGACCCACACGAGACGTGTTATTTCACACGAGTCGTGTGAGAGACCCACACGACTGGTGTGGAAGAACACGACTCGTGTGGGAAGCCCACACGGCTCGTGGAAATGCCGCATAAGAAACTGGGTTACGGCATTTTTACACGAGTCGTGTGGGAGACCAACACGAGACGTGTGGCATCACACGAGTCATGTGAGTATCCCACACGACTCGTGTGACCTCACATGCCTCGTGTTGGACTCCCACACGACTCGTGTGGTTTCATTGGACTCATGTGGGATTTTCACATGAGTCGAGTTGGTCTTTAGCAAGCAATACACAACTCGTGTGGGCTGTAGCATGCAAGACATTCATTTCGCAATTTTCACATTGATTATGTCACACATCATTGTTATGGAATATTTTAGTTCCAATTTTAACAAAAAATAAATAATGCATAAGAAAAAACATTCAACTTAAGTTTAGCAAATAAAAAAAACATTCAACTTAATGTTTTACAATAAAAAGAAAAAAAACCATTCATTACATCATTATTGCGCATTGTCGTAATCAAACTTAAGTTTAGCCAATATTTCTGCGTAACGCTCTGCCATCGGAGGATCAACTCATGTGCATTCCCGCTGCCATTCCGATGTAAAGCTAAAAACATGGTGCATCCACTACAAAAAAAATCAAGAATAAAAAGATATGATAAATATTTATTAAAAAAAATTATTGTAATCAAATAACATTAACTAAAATTTAGTAAACGACTTGCATAGTCGGTATTGGCACGCGTAGGGACCTCGTTCTCGTCCGAAAACTCCTCGCCCAAGACAGTAGGATGGGAAACCTGGCCGTACCACTGCAAGTACTCCGTAGTCGCCTCCCCTCGATCATGTGTGGTGTGGGTCAACATATTGGTGTTGACGGCCTGCGACATCGGGAACTGGTTCCAGGAACCTGCTGCAGCAACACCAGAATGCTCAACCTTGTAGAGCCTCGACTCCCAAGCACGTACTGCAGTGATTGGCATGACCATAGGGGGAGGGACAGTCTGGATAAAGCCCAACTGACGCAGAAACCGCAGAGGCAAGTATAGCTCAACAATATCGCGGTACCGAATCAATCTGCAATAAAGAGTCATCGGCTCTATCGAATCTGGGCTGGAGCTACTGTATGGAAACCGTTGCACCTGTTCAAAATTGCATAAAAGCATTTATAAAAATAATTATATTGTTTTAAATAACTGATAACTAAATTTAAATAAAATAACTTAACGTATATCGGAGGCAGTGAATCTGTCAAGGCACCGACGGATAGATGTGAGACGATCTTTTGACCTTGGCGTCGTCGCTACGCTCCACGAGCGTGATCGTGCGACACAGTCAGGACTGATGGGTAGACACCCCTGAGATCGGAAATTGGAGAAATACTCATATATCCAGGACTGTAGAAGAGTCAAGCAGTCTGACAGTCCATGTGCATCCCCTCTGCTGGCAATACCTAACTGTCTATACAAGTATGCCAGTGTAGTTGATCCCCATGAGTAACCACCAATTATATCCAAGCCGTCGAGCACCTCGTGCAGGAGTTTGGGACTCACTCTACTACCACTCTTGTCCACGAACAAGGTGGTAGACAGCAGCACCCACATCCAGGCAGCAGCCTCATCCAAAGGCAACTGGCCTTTCCCCTGAATGTGTCCACAACGGAGGCTTCGGTCACTGAACCATGCTGCCAGAACGAAGCAATAAGCTCAGCCTTCGTGGCCGAAAGTATCTTCATGCAGTACGCCTGGCAGGAGTCTGTATTTGGGTCCTGAAAGACCATGGCTCCCTCCACAGGAACCCCCAAAATGGCCCGGACGTCGTGCAACATGATGCTCATTTCACCAAAAAGAAGGTGGAACGAGTTAGTATCCGGCTGCCGTCGCTCCACAAATGCATACAACAGTGGAGTGTCCAAGTGGTTGTGCATGGAGTGTACCGGATGTGACAGCCCGGTCTTTTCGATGAGATCTTGTGCATTGTAGGACAAATCATCATGCCAATTCTTCAGACTGTCCAGTGCTTGCTATCTGTTCTGGCATTTCAGTATGCCTCTAATGTCTCAAGTCCATATTCGGGAGGCTACGTGCCCTAGAAAGCTAGGGATGACACTCCCATCAATGGGCCCACCGGGCACTGGGTCTTTAACGACCCAGGTTGCCTCATGTTTAGTCCTAGGTCGTTTGCTAGTACCTGCATAAGAATAGAACATATCTATATATACATAATTGCTGGCAGATGCATTAAATAAAACCTATTTAATAAAACCTTCATAAGTTTCTCGCTCATTTTTTTAATTAATGTAGAAACGTTACATTTTACATTAATAAGGTATAATGACAATTTTAAACTAATTTATTATATAATATTACTACTAATACTAATTGATCATAATTTCACATTAAATAGTATGTGGAAGTTACATACTTATAAAAAACTTTATTGCAATTTTTTTCTTTAAAATACTTTTTCCAAAATAAAATATTTTTTTGGTCTTTTTAAGCGATTTTTATCTAATATTAGTTAATTGACATGAGTATCACACTTAAACACCTTAAATCACATAAATAATTGCTATAACAATAATAAAAATAATTATAACTCTTTTCTCACTAATTAATTGTATGGTCCCTCTAAATTACAAAATTATATTGTCGTTGAGGAGCGGGTCGATAATACTTTTCTAACTGTACCGATAATTTGTTAGTATTAATTCAAAATATTTAATGTTAAACAATAATAAATACGTTAATTATTTACCTGAGGATCCAGTGCTAGCAAAACGGCCCAGACTGTCGTTGAGTAGCAGGTCGTGCAGGAGGAACAGGCTGTGTAGGACCCGTAGATTGTGCGGGTCGGTCAAAAGGCTGTGGTTAGAGCTTCCTCTAGGGGTCGTGCGGGTGGTTCTGATCACATGAAGAGTCGTACTCGTCAGACTCATCTGAAGGCTGCTCCCTCTGGGCTATCGAGCTGCCTGGCTCGCCAGCAAAATAATATCCCTGTTGACCTTACGGTACTGGTGTGGGGGGTATCGAACTGCCTGCCTGGCCAGCAAAATAATATCTATGTTGACCGTACGGTATTGGTCCAGGAAGTCTCGAACTGCCTAGTTGGCCAGCCTGACAATCAAAATAATATCCCTACTGACCATCTCATACTGGTGCGGGGGGTCTCGAACTGGCTGTCTGGCCAGCCAAACCAGTCTGTATCCTCCGAGTCTCATCGATCAGCTTCTGCCTGTCCCAACAAACGCACGCATTTACACCCCTACTTCTAGTGTGTCGGGCCAAAACCTTGATACTGCTCATCGACCTCGTCGTTGTCCCTGGTAGATTATCCAGGTCTACTAGCACCCTAAATGAAAAATATAAAGTAATAATTAGTAAATATTTTTTTTTAAATTTATATCGTATGATAATGACAATTATATATATATATAGTTATAACAAATAACATATATATTTTTTAATATATCTTTTAATACATATATATAATATAGGGTCGCGCTCCAGTGAGAATGGTACTCAATGAAAGAAATAAGAATGCATAATAGCCATCGGATGGGATCATCCAACGGTAATAAATAATCAACAATGTTACACAAATTAAGGGCAATGTGGACATTTCTCACCAACCCAAAATGAATGGGCACCAAACACAACCATTCACGTCACCACCCTCTCTTAATCAATTTCACTCTCTCTCTTCCCCCACCCTCACTCCCTCTCTTTCTCTCTCTCTCTCACACACACACACACAACCTCTGCAACGAAAAACCGGTTCCGCCTCAGGTCACCATCCTCTAATGTCCCACCAGAATCTGCACATCGGCGTCTTCTATGGCGACATGAACCGGACTTGCAGGTCGTCGACCACCGGAGCAGTCAAGCTCCGCCGGCAACATCCTCGACTGCCAGAGGGATTCGTAGAGACAACCAGTACCGGCGGCGGCGGCGGCGACGACACCAGCTTCGCCGTCGTCTCGTCTACTGCGTACATCTCATCCCGACGAAGGTCTCCATCTTCATCATTATTAGAATCGACGGCGAGAATCGACATCAGGAGACGAACACTTCTGTCACGGACTCACGGTGGTCGGACGTAAACGGGGCGCGAGCACGTCCAGCTCCACCCATGGCGTGGCGGCGCCGTCCTCCGCCTCCCGCCACTCCGCGGCACAAAAATCGAAGACCTGGGAGCCCGACGATCGAAGACGGGTACATCGTCTTCCTCGGCACTCCCACTTACTCTTCACGCAGTCGATGGCTGGACCCGCGGCAAAACCCCGGCGGCTACCGTAGACACGCGGCGGTCGGCGGTTGAATTCCAAAAATTCACCGGGAGCTTCAATTTTGGGACGGCGGTTGATTTTTGAAAATTCACAGGGGCTTCAATTTTGGGGCTGAACTATTGTTGAAAATTAGATAGATTTTAGGGACCTAATTGCAATTTTACAATATTTACCTATATTACAATTTGGTTCATGAGTTAAATTTGTAATTTAAACATAATATTTATATATTCTAATTATGTATTATTTCCTATGAACAAACCATAATATAAAATATTAAATAAATAATGAATATATTTTTATTATATAAAAAAAATTGGTATATGCAAAATAATGATAATTGAATTACACACCATTAAAGTTTATAAATTTGGAATACACATAAAGAATACTCGATCAATTTATTGCACAACAATGATAGACGAATTGCACATTATTGTATGTCGGATTGCACTTTTTCGATTTTAATATTTTTTTGTTATAAAAGTTTAAATAAAAAATATAAACACTAAATATATTTTTATTATATAAAAATTTTGATAAATGCAAAATAATGATATTTGAAATACACTTAAAAAATACTCGATCTATGGATTGCACAATAATGATAGACGAATTGCACATTATTATATGTCGGATTGCACTTTTTGAATTTCGATAATTTGTATATTATATATTTTTTAACCATAAATATTATAACATATTAAACATAAATATTAAAATACTAAATGTATTTTATAATATACATAATAATTTATTTTGATTATTTAATGTAATCCGTTTAATCGGTCGAAAAAACCGATTATTAAAGTTCGATGTTAGTTTGATTTGTGACAAATTATTCAAGATGTTTGTGTTGTACGTGCACGATATTGTTAGAAGAATTGCACATTAGTGACTATCACATTGCACAATAAGGACGGAAATCGACCAAACTAAAATTTCGATTCAAAATTTTAAACTTCAATTCGATAATCTGTTCTTACAATTAGAATATTGCTTATTTAAGTTTAATGTCGGGTTTTTTTTTTAATAATCGAAATGAGCAAACTAATCGAACTATAAGAAAATAATAGGTTCTTTTTTTTTAATATATATATATAGGGTCACGCTCCGGTGAGAATGGTGCTCAGTGAAAGAAATAAGAATGGATCATAGCCATTAGATCAGATGATCTAATGGTTAAAAAAACTCAAAATAATACTTTCATTAAGGGTATTGTAGTAATTTAACACACACAAAAATATGGACCCACTCCAATAAATACATTTGCCAACAACCCCACCCCAATTAATTTACCCGTGCCACCCGTCACCCACCCCTGTCACCCACCCTATCTCACTTCTTTCTCTCTCTCACACACAAACACACATCACACACACACCACACACATACTGTGCACGCATTTCGGCCGATGACAATCGCCTTCTCCCGCCGTGTGCTGCCGGTCATCTGCCGCTCGCTGCCACCGCCCTGCTCGGCCGCCGAGAAGCCCCAACCCCTCGCCGGCGCACCTCACTGCTGCCCCTGCCATCGCCGCCCGCCACCGCTCTCACTGCAACATCACGCCTGCCACCATCGTTTAGCAGACGTCTTCGCCTCACCGTGCGCCGTCAGTCACCAGATGCAGGCCGTGAGGACGTCGATTGCGGAGCAACGGCGGAGGGCGGAGAGCTCGGCTAGACAGAAGAAAGAGCGCTTCACGAGGTTGTGTAGCGGGACGGGATCTCTGTCGGGAAAGGTGCGCCGGCTTAGGAGATGTGCTCCGGCGAGAAGCGGGGCTGCTGTGAGGTGCGCCGGCGGCCAAATCAGATTCAATGTGGTTGGTCATGCATTTGGGAATTTGATATATTCAAAGGACTCAATTGCAAATTTTTGAAATTTCATTAAATGGCAATTCACTTCAATGGCTAAATCTACAATTTATATAATATCAATTACAAATATGATATCTCGTTTATTTTTTATGCACATATATTAAAATTAATAAATAACAATAAAAATAATAAACAAATATAAAAATGATATAAAATAATAAATAAAAATATTTAATGGTAATTAGTTTATTGTAATATAATTAATAAATTATTTAGATAAATTCAATTACCTAAGTTCATTGTTAGTTTTCAACTATCAATAATTATATTAATCATTTTCAACTATCAATAATATAGAATATTAAATAAAAATTACAAACACTATATATATTTTTATTATAGGAATATTTGATAAATGCATAGTAATGTTAATTAAAATACACATCATTTATTTCTTCCAAAATTGAAATGCACATAAAAAAATACACACTAGATATATTGCACAATAATGATATACTAGATGCACACCTATGTATGTGTGCTTGCACTTTATCGAGTTTGGTTCTTGCACTTTTACGAGATCAATATTTCGTACTATATATATTTTTATTATAAGAATATTTGATAAATGCATAGTAATAGTAATGTTAATTAAAATACACATCATTTAATTTTTTCAAAAATTGAAATGCACATTAAAAAAATACACGCTATATATATATTGCACAGTAGTGTTATCCTAGATGCACGTCTATGTATGTGTGTTTGCACTTTATCGAGTTTGGTTCTTGCACTTTATCAAGATCAATATTACGTACATTGTATTTTTCAATCAAAAATAATATAAAAATAATAAGTAAAATAGTAACATGCTAAATATATTTTTAATATAATAATAAATTATTTGTTTTTATATAGCGGTCCGAGTATTTGTTTTTACTTTCAAATTTTAGTTTTATCGGTTTCATGTCAGTTTAGTTTTTAATTTATTCTTATTTATTTTATATATTTTCAACCAAGAATGATATAAAATATTAACTAAAAATATATAAATACCAAATATATTGTAACAGAAAATAGCTATACTTTGAATGCACATTACAGTTAGACGAATTGCACATTAATGATTATCATATTGCACTACAGAGACCCAACTGTATAAACAAACACCTATTTTGTTATGTATATACTTTAGGTATTTCCAAAAAAAAAAAATATAAAATGTTAAATAAATATATTAAAAATGCTAAATATATTTTATAATATCAATCCTAAATTATTTTGTTTATTTAGGTTATTTCAGTTAACTGGTTAATAAATCGATTATTTCAATTTTAACTTGGTTTTTGACAAATCGTTAAAAATATTTGTACTTTGGATGCACATTTGTGTTAGACACATTGCACACTAGTGATGTCAAAAGACTTAAGTTACACTATAGCGACCAAACCAACCAAATCATATCAAATATATATGTATTTTAGGGATTTACAATCGAACATAATATTAAAAATTAAATAAAAATATTGAAATACCAAATATATTTTTGTAATATAAATTATTGTGACTATTTAGATTAAATCAGTTAACTGAACAAATAAATTATTTTGGTCTCAGATAAATTATTAAAAAATAATTGTACTTCGAGTGCACATTAGTGTTAGACGTGTTGCACATTAGTGACTGTCGGGTTGCACTTTAAAACGAAAATCAACCGAACTAAATTTGTTGGATCGAATAATATATTTTTGATGTCGACTTTATTTTTAAAATAACGGAACAAATGGAACTAAATTTTCAGTTTAAAATTTTATATTTTAGTTCAATTATATATTTTTTAATTTTTAAATCTTGGATATAATGTGCATTTATTATGCAATATTATTAAAATTCTTTATCATTATTGAGCATTTAGTATATATTTTATAAATTATAAATTTGACTCATGGATTAAATTGAAATTTAATAAAATTTCATAAATTTCAATTAAGTCCCTTGAAGATGTCAAATTTTCAACTAAATGCCCATCTCTTAAATCAAAACAAGACGGCGCCACAATCTATTCGCCGGCAGCCGTCCGCCGCCTGACCTCCCTGTCGACCGGCCGAACGCCTTCCGCCGCCAGGTCGCCGTCATCTTCCTCGTCTCGCCCACCCGGAGTTCCCGTCATGCTGCTCCACGTCGCCGCCAGCACTGCCATCACCACACCGCCGCCGACGAAGGTAGCAGCCGTCAACAACAGCCGCCAATCTCATCCCTCCGCCGGAACGTAGGCAAAATGTCGCGCTGCTCCACCACAATACAGTCGGGGGGAGGTCGCCGGCGTATGAAGCAGTTGCCCTGGCGGGCGTCTTTGTGGTGGGGGTGGAGGGCAAAAGCCGGGGATGGGCGGAGGCTGGATGCAGTCCGAGGCCGCTGCGGTCAGATTCCGGTCGCTGTGGTGGTGGAGACGGGCGGATGCCGGCGGCGGCCCTCCCCAATGTGTGTTTGTGTGTGTCGTGAATATATGCAGGTGCGCAGAGAAATTTAGATCTAGTATGTGTTATTGTGTGTGAGAGAGAGATAAATTAGGGTTGGTGGTTTGTGGTGGGTCCCACATTAATTATAAGTTGGATTGCTTTATAATGACTAAAATATCCTTAATAATTGTCAAATATAAATATTTGACCACAATATATATGTTAATTTACTATATTGCCATTAATGATTGACCAATACTTGACTTAATCATGACCATTGATATGGTAGATCTAATGGTGCAGAATTATTCTTATTTCTTTCACTATCTACCATTATCATGTGATCCCAACTCTCTCTCTCTATATATATATATATATATATATATATATATATCTTTATGCATTTTGAGTGCACAATTGTGTTAGACAAACTGCACATTAAAAACTACCAGATTGCACACTAGCGATCAATAGAGACCAAACTAAAATTTCGATTTCGAATTTTATATTTCGATTCAATTATCTGTTTTTATTTTTAGAATATCGATTATTTCATTTTGATATCGGTTTTATTTCTTAAAATAACCGAATGAACCAAATAGGCCGAACTATATAATAATAATAATTATTGTTATTATTTAATATTTTTGTGTAAAACTATTATTTACTTCTAGTCATAAATGTATAAAGTAAAAAATATTAAGTAATAAATAAAAACATTGAAATATTAATTATATTTTATTTAATTACAAATTTGACCCATAGACTAAATTGGAATATATTGAAATTTACAAAATTGCAATTCAACCCTATGACTTATCAAATTTTCAGCACATAGCCCCTCTTATATCTCCTCCGATCCCCAACCACCGCACACCTCTGAAATTGCAGCCAATGGCGTCTCTGACTTATGTTCGACCAAGGCTCGACACAGAGGTTCATATTCTGGTCGGGCAGGAGCCAGAAAAGCCTGTCGTTCTCTGCATAAGAGCCCTCCTCGCCGGCGCAACATGTGGATGACGAGGCGGCGTACGACCGGATGGCTGCAATTCTACATTGCAGCGGTCGACTGTGGCCGCGCCGGGCGACGGCTTCGGAGGCGGGTACGGCGGCGGCGGTTTGCTGTGTGAAGGCACCTAGCTCCGGTGGATTGTTGATGGCGGCCGTTGTGTGTGAAGGCATCTGGCTCCGGCGGACTATTGGTGGTGACCGCCGTGTGTGAAAGTACCTGGCTCCGGCGGATCTATTGGTGGCGGCCGCCGCCGTGTGTGGTGCGTGTGTGTGTGTGTGCAGATTTGAGATCTCATCTTGAAAAAGGAATGGGGATCTGATAGTGAACAAGAAAAGGGTGATGAAAGAGAAAAATGTGGTTAATTGGTGTGTGGGTCCCACATAATATATGTGTATTGACCAACATACCCTTAATCATTGGTCAAATGTACATATTTGATCACACTATGATCAACTAATTACTGAATTGCCATTAATGATTGACCATAGTTTGACTTCATCATCACCATTCATATGTTGGATCCATCGATCCAGAATCATTCTTATTTCTTTCACTATCTACCATTCTCATGTGATCTCAACTATATATATATATATATATATAGGGAATAGTTCCAATGCATCCACTTATTTAAAGTGAGGACGTAAGACTCATTTTTAGCCACAAGATTTGGTACATATCATGTGTGGCCAAGATTTACTATTTTCTTTTTATTATTTTAATTATTTAAATATTATTTTGACCCGTTGACTCCGGCATTGACCGTTGACTCCTGCGATGACCGTTGACTTCCGGTGAAATCCGTTGACTTTCGGCGTTGACTCCGACGTTGACCGTTGACAACTAACCTTCCAACTAGGTTAGTTCTCTGTAGTTGCTAGGTTAGTAGTTGCTAGGTTTTTTTTTTTTTTTTTTTTCAAACAACGCCCCGAAACAAAAAAGAAAAGCAGAAAAACAAAAAGGTACAAAAACTACAATACAAAGTCGATCTTCGGCTAACAGATGCCCGAAATAAATGTCTATACTAATGAAAGCAAAAATCTTAACCTACTGAAAGCGGAACGCTGGATATCCAAGTTGGTCCATCCGTGCAAGAGTGCGAAGGCGGAGTGGAGCAGTGTCGGTCTGAAATTTATGTGTGTCTGGTATGGTGGCGCCAAGGCTGGCCAGATAGTCGGCAGGTCTGTTCCCCTCACGGAAAATGTGCATGATCCTGTGATGGACAGACCGGAGTAGAGCTCTAATACGCATAAGCGGGTGCTGAATCTGCCACGAGCTCTGGTGGCCCGAGGTCAAAAGGGTGGCTACAGCCGCAGCGTCTAGCTCGATCCAAATGTGGCTAGAGAGGTGGACAACAATCTGAAGGCCGATCTGTAATGCCTGAATCTCTGCATCATAGCTCGAGGAGGCCTGAAGGGACGCGTGGAAGGCGGTGATGAGGGCGCCGCTATGGTCCCGGATCAAGCCTCCTCCTCAGGCAACTCCAGTGTGGCGATCAAATGAGCCATCTGTGTTCAGCTTGACCCACGGAGAGTCAGGTCGAAGTCAAACAACAGCTCTGGGCCGATGGTGCCGAACAGGCGGTGGTGGGGCCACCATGTAGCGATGTGGTGGCGTGCAGCCTGTCCAGTCTCGGGTCGTGAGCCTGCCCAATGCGATGAGGAGTGAAATGTGTCTCTCAACCTGCAAAACAATGTGAGAAAACATAAAAGTAATATCCCTATGCTTCGCACTATTCCTTTCTGTCCAAGTGAACCAAAGGATCAGACAAGGAATGAGGAAGCCTACGTGTCTAATGTGTGTGCTCTGTGAGAAAAAACTAAGGAGCTCAAAAAGACTGTATGTGGTGGGTAGGGATATATGTGTCCAAGTGGCAAAATGCTCACACACTCTCCTCACAATCTCACTCTCTGAAAAAAGGTGGGTAAAAGTCTTGGTCTCATGGCGTCCAGTCTCAGAACAACACACACACCGAGAGGGGAAGGAGATCCCTCTCGCGTGTAGCACAGTATCGACGGGTATCCGGCGCAAGGGGAGGCGCCAAAGGAACACCAAAATAGTAGGGGTGAAAAGGTCACTCCAGATGGCCCCGAAGAGGAGATTAGGCCGATCCCTCAGCCTGATCTGCTCTCAAGGCGAGGTAGTAGAAAACACACCCGATGATGTAAGTCTCCACTTCATGCTATCTGAACTGTCCCCCGAGATAGGGATCTGCTGGATCTGATCTAATAAATGCCCGCTAAAACCCGCACCAGACCCCAACTCCCTATCAAGCTTCCCCATATCCCACGACCCGTCCGACCAGAGGTCGCTCACAAGCATGTAGGGAGAATGCGACACCTGCATATCCCTAGATAACGGCCTATCACCTACCCACCACTCATCCCAGAAACTAACATTGCCCTCGCCCAGCACCCAAAAAATGTGATCCTGGGCGCGCCTACCAACCCTAGTAAGACGCCGCCACTGCCTACTATCATGATCAATAGCCGTCACCCAACAAGGGTGGTTGGCACGTCTTGGGCAATACTTGCCGCGAAGGTACTGAGCCCAAAGCGACTTTCCTTCCCTGAAGCGCCACCACAGCTTGTATGAGAAGGCTGTAACAATGTCCCTGAGGCGGCGGATGCCAAGTCCACCCTCGGGGAGGGGTCGACAGATGGAGTCCCAACTCACCCAGTGGGTACGTCTCTCCCTCCCAGAACCGTCCTCGTAACCCCAAAAATAACGAGCCATAATCTGGTCTATCTCGTCAAGAGTAGACCTAGGGGGTCGAGGACCATAAGCAAGTGAATCGGAAGAGAGCTAAGAGTGCTCTTGATCAGCGCAAGCCGACCACCGAAAGAAAGATGTCTATGCGACCAACCAGAGATCCTGTCGATCATCCTCTGCCTGACGCCCGTGAAGAGCTCTCTCGTGAGGTTGCCCTTATATAAAGGGACGCCAAGGTAGGTAATCGAAAGGTCGCCACGCGCAAAGTCAGTAATGTCGTGAACCCGCTGAGCCCATCTGGCCACGCTGGAAGAGGAGAGGGTGAATGTGCTCTTCTGCACACTGATCAGCTGACCGGTGATCGAGCCATAGTACTCCAAAAGGCGCATGAGCTCGACCAGTCCATCATCATCCGCCCGAGTGAAGATGATGATGTCATCCGCGTAAGTGAGGTGAGAGATGGGAGGACCATAGCCACGGATGCTATACGTCATATGAGGAAAGTTGCGGATGAAACCGCCAAGGCAGCGAGAGAGATAGTCCGCTGCAAGGACGAAAAGGGAGGGGGACAGGGGGTCACCCTGTGTAAGGCCTCTAGATGAGGGAAAGAAATCGGTGGAGCTGCCATTGACCAGGACCGAGAACATGCAGTGCTCCACGCACGCCTCGACAAAACTGATCCAACGGTCCGGGAATCCCATCCTAGCCAGGGCCTCCCTAAGAAACGGCCACTCTGCCCTATCATACGCCTTAGCCATATCTAGCTTCAGCACGATATTCGGAGCCCGCTTCCAGTCCGCACGAGAGATGTCATGGATCATCTCCTGGGCCAAAAGGATGTTATCACTAATGACTCGATCCTTGACGAATCCACTCTGATTCGAAGAGATGAGGGAGGGGAGAAGAGGGGAAAGACGGCCATTAAGGATCTTCGAAATGAGCTTGTTGGTCACTTTACACAGGCTGATGGGCCTGTAATCGGATCAAGAGCTCGGGTTGGGTCTTTTGGGGATCAAGACGACAGAGGTAGACGTGAAGGAATCCGGCATCCGGTGGCCGGAGAAAAAATCCAACATCGTCTCCTCGACGTCAGTCTCGACTAGATCCCAGCAGACCTGATAGAAGAGGGAGGGCAAACCATCCGGGCCAGAAACGCTGTTGGGATCAATCCCAAATACAGCATCGCTAACCTCCTCCCTACTCGGGAGCTCACAGAGGCCAATGAGATCGACCGAATGAGGGATGGTGGGGAAATGAGAAGTGGTGAGCAACAGCCGACTCCCGAATCTGAGCCTCCTGGGTCAAGGATGACCCATCAGCCTCGATACTATGGATGTACGACTTAGCACGCTTCGGCCTAACGTAGCCCTGGAAGAACCTAGTATTTCGCTCGCTTTCGGCCACCCAGCGAACGGCCGCCTTCTGCTTCCAGAAGTCCTCCTCCATAAGGAGTCGGAGCTGGTACTCGACGTGGCAGCGGTGCATGTCAGTCCTAATCTCCGGAGTGGGGTCCAGGTCATAGGCCCGCTCAGCCGTCGCGTGCGCACTCTGAGCCGCAGCAAGGCGCTGATGAAGGTTTCCAAAAACATCCCAGTTCCACTGTCTCAACCGACGCCGCAGTCTGCCGAGTTTCACCTTGAGATTGCGCATCTCGAAGAGCTCAGTCGGCTGAAGCCAAGAATCCCTGACAGTATCGTGGAAGGAGTGGTGGCGAACCCACATGTTCTGGAACCTAAATGAGGAGCGACGTGGGGTGCTCGAAAATCGGCACCGGATGAGAATGGGTGAATGGTCAGACCTGAATCGAGTAAGGTGTGTGACAGTCGTAACCGCAAACACCTTCGCCCACGCCTCAAAAACCAAGGCACGGTCTAACCTCTCTTTGAGTCCGTCCCTCATCCATGTGAAGGGCTCATGATCCAGCGTCAATTAACTCGCAGTCTGCCACCGCCAGAGCAAAATCCCACATCTCCCATGACCGGTCCGTACGGCCACCCACACGCTCATCGGGATGTAGAAAGATGTTGAAATCGCCACTAACCATCCATGGCAATCCCTCCATACTCTCGGCAATCTCACGCAGGGTGTCCCAAAGGTCATATCTCCCGACCCTAGTACACTTGGCATAAACCAAGGTGTGAAAGATGGGCTCTGGGAGGTGGGCAGCGGAAAGCTCAACGTGAAGCACCTGATCGATGTCGCGGAGGACCCGAGTGGAAGCCAAGACGACGCGAGTAGTAGTCAAAAGAGGGTGTGCGAATCATCGGCTCAATAAAGCCAACAAAATCGACTCTGTGATCACGAATGAGAGAATGAAGGTGAGAGAGAGTAGCCCTATTCGCCAGGCCACGGCCATTCCAAGTAATGGATGTGATGGACATATCAACGGTCGCAAAAGCCACCGAACGGAGTCTGCCTATGGCGAGGCTGAGTCGGGCCACCTAAAGAAGGCATGCGGCGGAAGGATCCAATAGCAGGGGAGATCGTCCGGCGTGTCGTGCGCTGCGTGGCTCTAGTCCTTGTGGGCTGTCTGCCTCGGTATGTGCTCGTGGCCTGTGAGTAGTCAGGCTGGCCAGACTGACCTATAGCAGCACTAGCGGGTTGCCCCATCTTCGGGGCAGTCTTCCGTCTGTCGTAGTGAACGAAGGCACTAGAAGCGAAGCTCTCGCATGATACGTCATGCTGAGCGCGGTTAAGACCGCAAACCTGCTCGGGAATGGGCGAAAGAGAGGATCCAGCATGTGCAACACTCGGGTGCTCGCCGCCAGAAGGAGAATGAGAGCTAGATATATGCGCAGCCGAGCTCCCAATCTCAGCAGGGAGGACATGGGCCGACTCATCCCCTTTCGGGGGAGCAGTGACGGCAGTAGCCCTCAAATCCGAAGATCGGACCGGGCTAGATGCGCGCACAGTCAAAGGACCGGCATCACGCGCACTGTCATCGGAAAGGTGGATGGACTCTCCCCTGGGCGTGGCGTCCGGCTAGTCCATATCGTCTCCGAGGAGGTCGTCGTCATCCAGAAGCGTAAGATCGGTAATCTTAGGTGGTCCGCTGGAGGAAGGCACAATCTCCTTCTCTGCCTCTGGAGAGAGAATAGCAAAATACGAGTGGTTGGCCTTGAAGGCCGACTGTAAGGTCTGTCTAGGGAGAAAGCCCGTGGACTTGGGCTTGGGCCCTACTAAGGACAACTGCTTAGGCTGCTTAGGATGAGCATCCTTCCCAGTTTGGGCAGTATCGACAATCACAGCCTTGCCCTTATCCTTAGACCCCGCGCGGAGAGGGCTTTTGCCCTTTCCCTTCGGGTCCCTCCGGCCGGTGGAGGGCCCCGGCTGAGTCGCACAAGGGCGCTGCGGAAGAGTGGGCCGTGGCTTATTGCCACTAGCATAGCAGTCCGCCGCAATGTGTCCCACGTGATTGCACAAAGTGCAGAAAGCGGGGATCTTCTCGTAGATTACCCGCTGAATAAAGGTCTCTGAGCCCTGCTCAATCTCAATCTTGTGGACGAGCTCGACTCTGAGGTCTATCTCAACACAAAATCTCGCCACGTTAGCCTTCGACTGAAGGGCCGTCGGGGCGTCAATGCGAATCGGCTGACCAATACACTTAGCTAGTGTAGTGATGGCAGCGCGGTCATAGCGGTGGGGTGGGAGGCCGGGAAGACGGCACCACACAGGGACAACAGGCGTCTCCGTCTTTGGGTTAAACCCGGCATTATACTTGAACACCCTAGCTGGGCATCCACAAAGATGAATCGAGGTCTTAAGCCAAACCTCGTTATAGTCCTCGGGAAGAGAAAAGGTGACTAGGAGGTGATGGAAATTATACCACTTAGACGACACTCTACCCTTCAAACCCAATTTACCTAATCCAGCAGATATATCTCGGGGGGCAGGGATAGCATAAGTAAACTTAAACACCAGGGTGTTAGCTAACTTACCTGCTAGAGTGTCAGATTCGGCTTCGGTGAATCGGGCCTTCACCTTGTTTCCCTCCGAGCGGATAATGGTTCCGCAAGTGTGCTCGTATTCTCCGTCAAAGGTGAAATCCTTTGGTGTCGGACGCGGGACGCCTGTGCCGCCGTCTCTCCTTCCCATAATGGCCTCTCGGAAAGAAAGTGGGCCAGTGGAGGTGCCCGGTGATGGCCCAGATGAAGCAGAATTTGCCGTGGAGGTGCCCGTTGGCTTTGTCGGGGAAGGAGCGAGAAGTAGTGTCGGGGCCTTCGTGTCTGGTCCGGCCATAATTACTCCATCTTCACGCATGTACAAGACGGCGTGTTCAGAGTTCGGGCCCTCCGGTGCCACGGTGGTTTTGCGGGGAGCGCCCGTCGGGGGCTGGACCGATTGGGGTGCTCCGGTGAGGGTGGCTGAGGTGCCGGGAGTCAAAATGGTGTAGTTCGCCGTTAAAGATGGACCAGGACCAAGTAATCCAGCCGCCGGAGATGGGCCGCCGGCGGAGACATGGCTGCCGGAGACATCGCCGGAGATGGGGAGGTGGACGGCGGTTGTTGGTTGGATGTTGGTGGCCATGACAGCTCCGGCGCCGGCGAAGGGCGGGTGGACGACGCCCGACATTTGTGGCTGTTAGCAGGGGACAGCTTCGGTCTGAGGTGTTGAGGACGTTGAGTTTTTGGTGATGGTGGGATGGGAGGTTGAGTTTAAAATGGAAATGGGTTGTGATTTAGTGTTGGACGGAGGTTTAATGTGTGGGTTGTTGGGCTGCAGTTTAGAAATGTTTGAGGTGGAAGCATTGGGCTCGGGTATGGATTTAATGTGTTGGCAAGGATTATCCTGGGCGAGTGAAATGGGGCCAGGCAAGGGTTTAATATGATGGCCCAAAATGTCGAGGCCTTGTGATGGCTGGAGAGGCCCAAAAAATGGTAAGTTTAATAAAGGGCTGAAACCTGAGGGAGTGGGCTGAGGAGGGGCGGGTTTGAGGTAGTCCAAATTAGAAGAGAGAGGGCCGGATTTGATGTGGTCCAGGTTAGGCCCAATTGGGAGAGGACCCATTTGAAGGCCAGATTTGCTGCTCAGCTGAGGGGAAAAAATCTCTGAATCACCGCCTTCGATGGGTGAGTTTGTTTTGACTGGTGGGATAACCTCCGGCGACAAGGTCCCAAAGACGACTGGACCTATGTTTCCGACCGGTGAGGTGTCGACGGCGGCTGAATTATCCCCAGGATTTTGAAAAGAAAACGGCAGGTCTTGGACTCTGATTTTCCCGGAATCGGCGAGAGGTGCCAAAGTTGCGGATCGGCTCAGATTAAGGGTGGATCTATCGATTGAGCTCGTTGGGTCGCCGGGAGTTGACGGCAGGATTTCTCCCTCCTCCAGCCTTGAGATCGATGGCAGGAGATGTTGAAGTGCTTTTGTCACTTCCAACGAAATGAAGGTGGACAGACTTGGGTTAACAACCGGTGGGAGGAGGTCGGAGGGGGCAAATTGAGAGGGAGGTCGAGGAAGGGGGGACGGAGGGAGGGGTGCTCAGAGGGAGCAGGTGTAGATGCAGATGTGCTGCGAGCCATGAATTGTTGGACTGAAACGTAAAAAGGGGTAGAGGGTTGGTCAGGCGGCGGCGGAGGCGGCACGCCGACGGACAGCTATGTGACGGAAAATGGGACTGAACAGTGGTGGGAATTTGGGGAAAATGGGTTTGTAGAGAGAGAAAGTTAGAGAGAAAGGAGAGCATTTGGGGAGAGTTTTTTTTAGTAGTTGTTAGGTTAGTTCTCTGTAGTTGCTAGGTTATTTTTCTGATGTTGCTAGGTTAGTTGTCAGTAGTTGCTAGGTTTTTTTTTTAACAAACAACACCCCAGAAGGGCGGGGGATTGGGCTGGATCCCCAACCTGTGCATAGATCAGGGCCCCAAAATCGGGGGCCCAAAATATTAACGAGCAAGATACAAAAGTCTACAGAGTCTCAGTAATCAAAATCAAAAACAAAAGAAAAAACAAAAAAGAAAAGCCGAAAAACGAAAAAGAACCAAAAACTACAATACAAAGACAATCTGTGGGCTAACAGATGCCCGAAATAATGTCTATACTAATGAAAGCAAAATCCTAACCTACTGAAAGCGGAACGCTGGATATCCAAGCTGGTCCACCCGTACAAGAGTGTGAAGGTGGAGTGGAGCAGCGTCCGTCTGAAATGTATGTGTGTCTGGTATGGTGGCGCCAAGGCTGGCCAGATAGTCGGCAGGTCTGTTCCCCTCATGGAAAATGTGCGTGATCCTGTGATGGACAGACCGGAGTAGAGCTCTAATACGCATAAGCGGGTGCTGAATCTGCCACGAGCCCTGATGACCCGAGGTCAAAAGAGTGGCTACAGCCGCAGCGTCTAGCTCGATCCAAATGTGGCTAGAGAGGTGGGCAGCAATCTGAAGGCCGATCTGTAATGCCTGAATCTCTGCATCATAGCTCGAGGAGACCTGAACGGACGCGTGGAAGGCGGTGATGAGGGCGCCGCTATGGTCCCGAATCAAGCCTCCTCCTCCGGCAAGTCCAGTGTGGCGATCAAATGAGCCATCAGTGTTCAGCTTGATCCACAGAGAGTTAGGTCGAAGCCAAACAACAGCTCTGGCCCGAGGAGGCTGAATAGGCGGTGGTGGGGCCACCGTGTAGCGATGCGGTGGCGTGCAGCCTGTCCAGTCTCGGGCCGTGAGCCTGCCCAATGCGATGAGGAGTGAAATGTGTCTCTCTACCTGCAAAACAATGTGAGAAAACATAAAAGTAATATCCCTATGCTTCGCACTATTCCTTTCTGTCCAGGTGAACCAAAGGATCAGAGAAGGAATGAGGAAGCCCACGTGTCTAAGGTGTGTGCTCTGTGAGAAAAAACTCAGGAGCTCAAAAAAACTGTATGTGGTGGGTAGGGATATATGAGTTCAAGTGGCAAAATGCTCCCACACTCTCCTCACAATCTCACTCTCTAGAAAAAGGCGGGTAAAGGTCTCAATCTCATGGCGTCCAGTCTCAGAACAACTCACACACCGAGAGGGGAATGAGATCCCTCTCGCGCGTAGCACAGTATCGACGGGTATCCGGCGCAAGAGGAGGCGCCAAAGGAACACCGAAATAGTAGGCGTAAAAAGGTCACTCCAAATAGCACCGAAGAGGAGATTAGGCCGATCCCTCATCCTTATCTACTCCCAAATCGAGGTAGTAGAAAATACATCTGATGATGTAAGTCTCCACCTCATGCTAGGTTATTTCTTTTTAGGTTAGTTCTTTCTTGCTGGTAGGTTAGTTGTCTGATGCTGCTACTAGGTTAGTTGTCTTTTGTTGCTAGGTTATTTCTTTCTTGCTGCTAGGTTAGTTGTCTTTTGTTGCTAGGTTAGTTGTCTGTTGTTGCTAGGTTAGTTGTGTTTTGTAGCTAGGTTAGTTGTCTGTTGTTACTAGGTTATTTATTTCTTTCTGCTAGGTTAGTTGTCTTATGTTGTTAGGTTATTTCTTTCTTGCTGCTAGATTAGTTGTCTTTTGTTGTTAGGTTAGTTATCTGTAGCTGTTAGGTTTGTTGTGTTTTGTTGCTAGGTTTTTTTTTTTTTTTTAAACAAACAGCGCCCCGGAAGGACGGGGGATTGGGCTGGATCCCCAACCTGTGCATAGATCAGGGCCCCAAAAACGGGAGCCCAAAATGTCAACGAACCAGATACAAAGGTCTACAAAGACTGATAATCAAAAACAAAAACAAAAGAAAAACGAGAAAGGAAAACCGAAAAACGAAAAAGAAACCAAAAACTACAATATAAAGTCGATCGTCGGGCTAACGGATGCCCGAGATAAATGTCTATACTAATGAAAATAGAAATCCTATACTAGTAAAAGCGGAACGCTGGATATCCAAGCTGGTCCATCCGTACAAGAGTGCGAAGGCGGAGTGGAGCAGTGTCGGTCTGGAATGTATGTGTGCCTGGTATGGTGGCGCCAAGGCTGGCCAGGTAATCAGCCGGTCTGTTCCCCTCACGGAAAATGTGCGTGATCCTGTGATGGACTGACCGAAGTAGATCTCTAATGCGCAGAAGCGGGTGCTGAATCTGCCACGAGCCCTGATGGCCCGAAGTCAGGAGGGTAGCGACAGCCGCAGCATCCAGCTCGATCCATATATGACTAGAGAGGTGGACAGCAATCTGAAGGCCAATCTGTAGTGCCTGAATCTCTGCATCGTACCTCGAGGAGGCCTGAATGGACGCGTGGAAGGCGGTGATGAGGGCGCCGCTATGGCCCCGAATCAAGCCTCCTCCTCCGGCAAGTCCAGTGTGGCAATCGAAGGAGCCATCAGTGTTCAGCTTGACCCACGGAGAGTCAGGTCGCAGCCAAACAACAGCTCTGGCCCGTGAAGGCCGAACAGGCGGTGGTGGGGCCACCATGTAGCGATGCGGTGGCGTGCAGCCTGTCCAGTCTCGTGTCGTGAGCCTGCCCAATGTGGTGAAGAGTGAAATGTGTCTCTCTACCTGCAAAACAATGTGAGAAAACATAAAAGTAATATCCTTATGCTTCGCACTATTCCTTTCTGTCCAGGTGAACCAAAGGATCAGACAAGGAATGAGGAAGCCCACGTGTCTAAAGTGTGTGCTCTGTGAGAAAAAACTCAGGAGCTCAAAAAAACTGTATGTGGTGGGTAGGGATATATGAGTTCAAGTGGCAAAATGCTCCCACACTCTCCTCACAATCTCACTCTCTAGGAAAAGGTGGGTAAAGGTCTCAGTCTCAGGGCGTCCAATCTCAGAACAACACACACACCGAGAGGGGAAGGAGATCCCTCTCGCGTGTAGCACAGTATCGACAGGTATCCGGCGCAAGAGGAGGCGCCAAAGGAACACCGAAATAGTAGACGTGAAAAGGTCACTCCAGATAGCCCCGAAGAGGAGATTAGGCCGATCCCTCAGCCTTATCTGCTCCCAAGCCGAGGTAGTAGAGAACACACCTGATGATGTAAGTCTCCACCTCATGCTATCTGATGCTAGGTTAGTTGTCTGATGCTGCTAGGTTATTTCTTTCTTGCTGCTAGGTTAATTGTATTTTATTGCTAGGATATTTCTTTCTTGCTGCTAGGTTAGTTGTCTTCTGTTGCTAGGTTTTTTTTTTCTTGCTGCTAGGTTAGTTGTCTGATGCTGCTAGGTTAGTTGTATTTTATTGCTAGGATATTTTTCTTTCTTGCTGCAAGATTAGTTGTCTGCCGCTACGTTAGTTGTATTTTATTGCTAGGATATTTCTTTCTTGCTGCTAGGTTAGTTGTCTTTTGTTGCTATTTTTTTTTTTAAAATAAATTGTAACCCATAGGATTTGAACCTGGTACCTCATTGAAGCAAGACAAGCAATGCAACCACTACACCACTCAAGGTTGAGTGTCTTTTGTTGCTAGGTTATTTATTTCTTGCTGCTAGGTTATTTGTCAACGGGTCAACGCCGGAAGTCAACGATTTTTGCCGGAAGTCAATGCTGGAGTCAACTAATAATTATTTTATTATTTAATTAATGTATATTTAATTGATTTTGATCTAGACAAAATGAGTGGCTAAGATTGAGTCTCACGTACACATTTTAAGGAGTAGTCTCATTGGATCCATCCCCTATATATAT